CCGCTTAGCGGGTTATTTTGCTCTAATATTTTTAGTTGTAAATATCATTTGATTCTAAAATTACCATCCCGGTAACCGTATAATAATAATAATAATAATAATAATAATAATAATAATAATAATAATAATGACTGTCAAGACATATTTCAAGTTCAAGTACGTTTATTGAGACAATAAAATACATCTCAAAGGAATAGAATAGTTTAGACAATTTCTACCCTCCTTTATCTCGTTACAATTCTTCGCCGGGTCCGGTCAACTCAGTCAGGTCAGGTCAGGTCACTAATCCTAATTATTACATCAAAATATGCGTATTACACATCATAAATATAGTGTACAAAATATTACACAAATTTATTGCATGTTATCTTAAACTTTAATCCTAACTACGTTGGTTTAAATGTTTATTTTAGCTAAGAGAAGGATGTATACATTTTTCTCGGTGCGTATATACACTGTATATATACAAAGAATACTTTAAGTTGTCTGGTAAGGTGTTGCTGTGATCTTAATAACACTCACGAACTTGATAGGTCCAGTAACCACACCAATACAAAAGAATTCATATTAATAATACACAAGAAATAATACACAAGAATCACATAATGCTCACGAATCTTCATAGCTCGGTGTACTCACCTAATTGTGCGGCGGAGGGACAGGAAGCCTGATATGTCACCTGAATGTTCTTCTCACAGTAAGCAAGCCGGGGGGAAAACTTGGTTAAAATATTTGGTAATACATCGCTTTAAATGAAGCTTAACTGAAGCTAAGATTCTCGACTTAGATTTGTGAGTATATATAATTTTTGAGAGAGGGGGACACTAAAGCCCCGAAATCATCTCAAGATAACCTCAAGATAACCTCAAGAGGAACCATTTGGACATTAGGAAATGTAGATGTTTATCTCTCAGAATGTTTAGTAATATGTTTATTGTTGGTGATGTGTTTCTATGTATGTATTAACACGATGTACTGAACGGGGTGAGAATAGCTTGAGCTACCTCATCCCTTTGTGTGTATTTTACCTCAATAAACTTATTTCAATTTCAATTTGGACATTCTTGGGATACTAGGCTAAGATTTTTAGATATAGTTTGAGTGACGTATTTAGGCATTTCTTGAAGATTGGTGATAAAGTAGTCTGGTCAACCCGTGAGAGGTCAGGTCTCGTCGCCAGCCTGGGTCAAACAGGTCAAGAGGGTCAACCTATCTGCACCTGACCATCAAGCAACTAGCCGCTAATGTAGCCTCTGCCTACATAGCAGGTGGGGGGGCTAATGAATTAATCCTCTCAGTTCAAAAGGTGGGCAGTAATGAACAATGCTAAAATATAATAGGAGAGCATATATGAGTACCTTATGTTCTAATGCTATAAAGTATGATGTTATTCTAGAATGTATTGATTTGCCTAAGAGACAATTCACACAGTGTGTTAGGGGAGACATGATCACTACCTACAAAATTCTCATAGGAATTGACAGGGTAAATAAAAAAAAAACTGTTTAACACGAGTGGTACGCGAACAAGGGGACACAGGTGGAAACCGAGTACCCAAATGAGCCACAAAGACATTAGAAATAATTTTTCAGATTCAGAGTAGTTAACAGATGGAATGCACTAGGCAGTGATGTGGTGGAGGCTGACTCCATACACAGTTTCAAATGTAGATATGATAGAGTCCAGTAGGCTCAGGAACCTGTTCACCAGTTGAGAGGCGGGACCAAAGAGCCAAAGCTCAACCCCCCGCAAGCACAACTAGGTGAGTACAGGGAGCTATGCCTTCTCCCCTAGTATATGGGAGGTTGTTGTTCTTGTTTAAGATTCGCTCCTTGGAACAAAAATTCCAAGTAGCACGGGCTATGGTGAGCCCGTAGTGGACTTTTTTCTTATATATATGGGAAGGACGAGTGGTTATCTGTGAGTAATGTTGTGCTGTATTACTACTCCCTTCCATTCTAGATCTCTTTTTTTTTTCCTGTATCCTCTTGCATCAACTAAATCATTGTATTAATTTATATCAAAGTTAATTGATGTATCACATTTAAAACTACTTTCCATAGACCTCTTTCTATAGATCAACCAGCCCGTCCTCCTAAGGTTTCCCAACGTCAAGAAAACGGTCAAATTAAAGTGTCCTCTCCTAACCTACCAGAGGACCCAAAACAGAAAACGGGACAGTACGTCACTTTCGTCAGCCGCTTCCATTTTCTAGTACGACCATTTTTAGCCGTATGTAACGCATACGAGCGAAATGTGACGTTGTTTGTTGGAGGACAAGGCTGATCCAACAGCTGCATTTAACACTGCCGTGATGTGAAGGGATTCACATAAATCTAAGTTTACAACCATTTCTTTAGTTTCCTAAACAGATCTATTTATACTGAAATTGAAATAAGTTTATTGAGGTAAAATACACACAAAGGTATGAGGTAGCTCAAGCTATTCTCACCCCGTTCAGTACAACGTGTTAATACATACATAGACACACATCACAAACAATAAACATATTACCAAACATTCTGAGAGATAAACATCTACATTTCCTCCTTTACACAAGTAGTATGGTATCAGACGTATACATAAATACTTTTATGACCTAGGTATACTGTATACACAATTTGCAAGAGACATGCAGATAATTCAACAAAAAATTACAGTCTTGGTGGGTATTTATACTTGTCCATATATGTATGTTGATAGACTGGTCCCATGCTATTTGTTAGTATGTTATTAAATATAACGCTACTCTACTATTACTGCAAAAACAGGCTTACCAAACCATTCCCCATTGCCTTGTTAGATCACATTCTCTCCAATTACAGCATAGGCTGGAGTCATATGATTTTAAAATTCTGGCTAAGATTGCCAATAAAATGGATGTGTTGTTCTAGCAGAGTTTGTATATGAAGTTAATTACACCTATTGCTTTATTGACGTTACTGATGTAGTGAGTGAAATCCGCCCTCGACTCAAGTCCATTACATCCACCGGTCGACCCCACAGACGCATTCATAATTTTTTTACATGCTATTCATTCAAAACAGGAATTTTCTCAAATATATAAGTGGTGGCCCTTTTGAGCCATTACCAGTATCAAGAGCTGATACTGGAGATCTGTGGAGGTGCGACTGCACCCTGCGTGACGGGAGATGTCTCCCGTGAAACAAAGGGGTTTGGCGGCTGGGTTAACGAGCTTGGATCGTTGTTGTTTAAGATTCAGCAACTTGGAACAAAATGTTTCAAGTAGCACGGGCTATGGTGAGCCCGTAGTGGACTTACCTGCCACAGGAGCGGGGCTGTAGCTTTGCTAACTAGCACTTGTTGTTGTTGTTGAGCTTGGATCTTTGTCTGCAATGACGGGTTGCAATTCGACAAGCGTCAAATGTGAACGTTATGAACCGTGAATTGAATACCTACTCGCAGCCCGTCCTCCAAACAAAGATCCAAAAGTGATTCCATGCACCCGCCAAACCCGATGTTTATGAATGAAAAGCGGTTTACACACGACTCACAACTGCTGACGTTCGAACATATCCGGAACAAGTGCTTCACTGATGAATTTTGTTCGAATCACAACGCTATAAATGCTTCACCCACGTACTACAAATACAAATAATCGCCAACAGAACCTAAACACCTAACCTAACCTAACCTATGCCTATATATACACAATATGCTAATATATTATAATATTAATTTATACTTGAGAAAATTCCCGTTTTGAATGAACAGTATATTAAAATTTATGAATGCGTCTGTGGGGTCGACCGCTGGATGTAATGGACTTGAGTCGAGGACGGGTTGCGTGTAAACCGCTTTTCATTCATAAACAGGGGGTTTGGCGGGTGCATGGAATCACTTTTGGATCTTTGTTTGGAGGACGGGCTGAATGACGGGTTGCAATTCGACAAGCGTCAAGTGTGAACGTTATGAAACGTGAATTGAATACCTTCTCAACGGGAACTAATAAGGGAACGGAGGGGAAACTATCATTAGATATCGCCAAGCCATTACGACCATACAACACTTGGCAGTGCTATATTTGGCAGTACAAAGGATCAGGATAAAGATTTGGGATGAGACGGGGGGGGGGGGGGGAAAGGAATGGTGCCCAACGGTGCTTGGACGGTCGGGGATTGAACACCGACCTGCATGAAGTGAGACCGTCACTCTACCGTCCAGCCAAGGGGACGAACAAGACTGATCTCATTGTAACACATTTAGATACGACTTCCCTTATGAGCACCTAAATGAGATTGATAAATGAGATTAAATGAGATTGATAAATGAGATTATATGAGATTGCGCGGCTTTAATATTTCTCATTTAACCCGTTTCTTGGAATAGAGCTTCAGGATCAATAGGTAGGAAGACGTATGCTGTGGCTACAAGTAAACAATCATGCACAAGAATATATATTTTACCAGTGGGAAGATGGTGGGAAGACAAACAAAAATTGAGACCTTCCCTGTCTATGGAGGGAAGGATTCCCAGGGGTCCACTCTTCACTACAGAGGTCAAAGGTCATCTCTTCGGCCGAAGCGATGCAAGATTCCAGGATTCAGATGCTATATTCTTACAAGTTTCTTGACCAGATTATATATTTCGGTGAGATAGAGGGCAGATATATAAATAAAATATATATATATATAACAAAATGTAAAACGTAAATATTGGTTTATAATGTATAACCAGCAAAGAAAACGAGGGAACTATACTTGTGACAAGAGATTTAGAAACGAAAACGGGATGAGGGTTAAGCTCCGGGAGGGATGCCTATAGGCTAAGGGGGGTGACTCAAACAGAAGTGAACACATCAAACCATTAATTATTCCTTGAATTAATATTAATGCTTTCAGAGGAATGCTTGTATAAATACATATATGCTTATACATGTGTATACACTGAACCAGAGCTGAATACAAAAATCATTCTGTCTGGTAAATGCTGGTAGTTGGTCTTGCGATGCCAGTTGACTATTTTTTTTCTACTTTTAGTCTCGGTAGCACTGGAGCATCGCGAGACGGGTACTTCATTAGTAGCCAGCCGGCCGGCCAGCAGTAAACAGCAGGATGGCTCCCTCTCACAGTACGCCGGCCCCAGCACCGCCCCGCTCAATCTCTCTCCACCACGAAAAGGGTAAGTGCTTCTTGTTACCCTGTCGTAGCTCAGTCGATTAAGGCAGTGTCTGGGATGCTCCCGGACGCAGGTTCGAATCCTCGTCACGGCCCTTGTGGATTTGTTCATTGTCTCTTGATGTTAAGTAGGTGGCTTTAGGTCAAAGTGTGGGCTTAAGGTCGTTAGTTAACTACTATATACTACATTCGTTTGGTGGGACAGGAAGCCAGTGTATGTATATACTTCAAGGTTGCATGAAGGTCCCTTACCTTGCGATGGTTTTTAGGGTTCAACGTTCCCCGCGGCCCGGTCCTCGACCTGGTCTCCTGGTTGCTGGACTGGTCAACCAGGCTGTTTGACGGGGCTGCTCGCAGCCTGATGTATGAGTCACAGTCTGGTTGATCAGGTAACCTTTGCAGGTGTTTATAAAAGTTGTAGGACAATCAAGGACAAAGCCATACATTCTCCAGGTTGTAAACATTGGAACAGTTGCCCAATTCCGGGTATCTATTGACTGCCAGATGAATAGCAGCACATTGGTGAAAGGAAACTTGCTGAACCATTTGTCCCGCCCGGGAATCGAACCCGGGATCCCAGATTGTAAGTCACCACCCCTACAGGTTACCACAAGAGCCTATCAACTTCGTGAAAAGTGGGATATACTTGTGTATATATTGTGTATACTTACGTATATATGTAGCTTGTCTTGTTAACAAGCTTGATCTTGTTGAGCTTAATGTCAAAATGGTTGAGGACCATTCCTGTCCCCCGTCCTATCCCAAATCCTTATCCTGACCCCTGCCAAGTGCTGTAGTCGTAACGGCTTGACACGTCTGACAGACCCGCTCCTGTGCCAGGTAAGTCCACTACGGGCTCACCATAGCCCGTGCTACTTGCCCCGCTCCTGTGCCAGGTAAGTCCACTACGGGCTCGCCATAGCCCGTGCAATTTTGGAACTTTTGTTCTAAGTAGCTGAATCTAAAACAACACTTCTGATAGTTCCCTTCCTTCCCTTGCTTAGAGTATATAGCTTGTAGCATAGACGCGTTTGCCGAATTTTTTTGTAAACACAAATACAGCCATAACAAAAAACATAAACATCAGCATTAACAAGACAAGAAACGCATGAACAGAACTCAAGAACAGTATAACAAACTCGCATAAACAATCGTATAATACACAAAATGGAAACATAAACATTAGTTGTTTACTTAAGTCATAAAAGAAAAAAAGCACCAAAGACATATAAAGCAACAATAACAAAGCAAGGAACACAGGAACAAAACACAGTAACATCACACAAACAAAAGCTGTACAGTACACAAAGTGAAAACATTAACAATGCATACCGGACCACAGGGAACCGGCGGACTACAAGAAAAGATGATTTGTGTTCAGCTACTGGGAACAAAAAGTTGCAAGTAGCACGGGCTATGGTGAACCCGTAGTGGACTTGCCTGGCATAGGAGTGCGGCAAGTAGCACGGGCTATGGTGAACCCGTAGTGGACTTGCCTGGCATAGGAGTGCGGCAAGTAGCACGGGCTATGGTGAACCCGTAGTGGACTTACCTAGCACAGGAGCGGCGGCTGAAATAAAATGTTGTTCTGCTAGTTGGTGCAAAATCGCTTCCCTAGTTCCTGTACTTACATTTAATACTAAGGAATTGACTGACGACAATCACCTAATATGCGCTTAAAAAACCAAAAAGACGAAAACGTTTGTGCTGGTTTTAATTTTTTTTTGTAGTGATGCTAATGGGACCCGGAACTGTGTTCGCTCAGCGTGATAGTAATTTTATCTTGCATATTTGATCCTAAATGCTAGGAAATGGACCTAAATACTCTTGATAACACTTAAAAAATGTCTCTTTTTTTTTTCTCCTGCTTGAGGAATCTCTCGTGAAACCCAGGTAATGTCAAATGCACAATGAAGTCACATTAACGAGGTGTGTTGAGCACTAGATGAACACTGGATGAATACTCCTGAGGCTTCAGTTGTAAGCCTCGGGAATCCTAGAAGAATGAGTAGGATCCAAAAGATGCATTGCTTTTCGTGGCGTGGTGGTCTAGGGTGCTAGCTAGGGCTTACCAAGCGAGCAGGTTCGAATCCCTCTCAAACCACCACCTGATTTATCTCACAGGTAATGTCAGTCAGGTGAGGCGCTGCTGCACACTATCCTCCCACTTAATGTGATGTAATTTTGATGTTATCGTCCGATATCGTCAATATACCGGTGCTCTAAGAGACATTAAAAGCACTCCAATAGTGACTCTTTACGGAGTAATTACCATTAGGATAGATGGGTTGGCTGCGTATATTTACGCCTCTGCAGGGGGGGGGGGCTAGATTCACGAAGAAGTTACGCAAACACTTACGAACCTGTCCATCTTTTTTTCCAATCTTTGGCGGCTTTGTTTACAATTATTAAACAATGAGCTCAGAAGCACCAGGAGGCTGTTTATAACAATAACAACAGTTGATTGGCAAGTTTTCATGCTTGTAAACTGTTTAATAAATGTAACCAAAGCCGTCAAAGATTGAGGAAAGATGTCCACGTTCGTAAGTACTTGCGTAACTGCTTCGTGAATCTGGCCCCCTGGTTAGGAAAAGCCACTTCCAATTTGATGCTGGCCAGTTGTTGGCACTGACTGATTAAGGATTGCAACGGGTCATTGGGATTTTCACTCGACACTGTAGAAGAATATAGTGTGTGGTCGGTGTGTGGGTGTGGAGTGCAAGTGTGGGGGTGTATGGGGGTGGGGTGTGGAGTGCATGTAGGGGGTGTATGGAGTGGGTGTAGGGGGGAGGGTACTAGCCTAGTTACGCTTGCGGGGGTTGAACTGTAACTCTATGGTTCCGCCTCTCAACTGTCGATCAACTGGTGTACAAGTTCCTGAGCCTACTGGATTCTTTCATATCTTCATTTGAAACCGTGTATGGAGTCAGCCTCCACCACGTCACTGTCTAATACTTTCCATTTAACTACTGATACTTGACAATATTCTTTCTCTGTGGCTCACTTGGCTACTAAGTTTTCGCTTGTCCTGTGTGCGAGTACCACCTGAGTTAATAATATTAGTTTATCTACCCTATAAAGTTTCCTGAGAATTTTCTACGTGGTAATCATGTGCCATGTGCATGTTTATATTCTCAAAACTCTTAATTATCTATTAGTGACGTAAGGTTTAATTCCTGTAGCCTTTCCTCGTAACTCATACTTCTTAGCTCTGGGACTAATCTTCAGTGGCATACCTGTGAACTTTTAATCGAACTTCATCTTGTGAATTGGATTCAAAGCTGGAGCCGCATACTCCAGGATTGGTCTGACTTGCGTGATTACACAGAATTGTTGATTAATTACACGAACGTCTGAGCGCATTTCATAGGTTGGCTAGCCTGGCATCTGCTGCTGAAAATAACCTTTTAGATGTGGGCTGCAGGAGGGCGGGATCTTGTAGTATTAACTCTAGTATCTTTTCCTCTACCCTGTTCCCTTAAGGATTATTTCTCCGGGCCCTCGGATGCCTTCCTCAGTGTTCCGCGGTGTTCTATTAATCGTGTAGTGTCTTCATGTCTTAAAATACTCGCCCTTGCTGCTTTATGTATTTCGGGAAAAACCCGCGGCTTGATCTTTGTAATTCATTATTTTCCCTTTGGACCGGAGCAAACTTGTCTTCTGCCTCCTGACACGCACGCACGCACGCGCGTGTGTGTGTGTGTGGGGGGGGGGGGGGGGGGGGGGGGGGGGAGGGCGTGTAGTGTGAACCAGTTTTTTTTATTAAAGAGCAAGTGCAAAAATATATAAGAGTACTGTACTAGCTTTCTATTTGACCTCTTAGGTGCCCAGTGTCTAATTCCTGCCTGGGTGGAACTGGTTAGGCAAGACAGACGAAAGTTAGGAGTGGTTGACTGGTTAGGTGTTGGGGGGGGGGGGGGAGAGGATATGTGAGAGGGACGTCGGTATGTGGTAGGTCTGGTTACGTATTCACCTAGTTGTGCTTGCGGGGGTTGAGTTCTGCTCTTTCGGCCCGCCTCTCAACTGTCAATCAACAAAAAGTCCCCCCCCACCCCCCAGGAAGCAACCCGTAACAACTCCCAGGTACCCGTTTACTGATAGGTAACAGGAGGCATCAGGGTGAAATAAATTCTGCTCATTATTATTATTTGTGGGTAGGTCGGGAAGATGAGGCTTAAAGGTTGCACAGTAACTGTGAAGAACAGTTGGGTAGACTTTTTTTTTTTTTTTTTTTTTTTTGCAGGGGTATTCCTGTGCGGGCCCTAAGCCTCTGGCTGGCCCACTGCGCGGACCCTAAGCCTCTGGCTGGCCCACTGCGCGGGCCCTAAGCCTCTGGCTGGCCCACTGCGCGGGCCCTAAGCCTCTGGCTGGCCCACTGCGCGGGCCCTAAGCCTCTGGCTGGCCCACTAAGTGTTGCTTGTTTCTGTTTTACTTGGGCGGAGTGTGAGTATTTATGACTCGTATGGTCGCTTCAGTAAGATTTTGTCATGTGTGTTTAACAACTTCTGCTCTGTTGAATCTAAGTTGAAATCTTAATAGGTCAGTTGGGTAGATGTATGGAATAGGTCTGTGTAGGGCTCCATCTAATTACCAAAGCCTCAACATTGTCGCTTGGATCGTCGGCTTCCTATGGCGTCACTTACCTAGTTTCGTAAAATTTCCTAAAATTATATTTTGGAGCGCAAAAAAAAAAAATAAATAAATAAATCCTGCTCTACATTCAGCACCAACATTTGTGAGTAAATGTCACATTTCTTCATTACTTGCGTAAATGCTAAGAGGCTTTGGGCGGACCTCAGGAGGTCCTGTGGTGCAACCGGATCCCGGACGGAAAGGTCCCGGGTTTACTGCCCGCGGCAGGACATAAGCGTTTTGTATCACTTTCTCCTGATGCCCATGTTCACCTAGCAGTATGTAGGTACCAACGACTTGAGCAAAGATTGTATCCTGAGGCAGGGCAATAGTGGACTCGATAGGCCTACGTAACGCATTTGAAGGCAATTTTGAGATATATAATATCAACATATTATTCCTGAAAAACAAAATATATCGACATACATTGTCCGCCATGTTAGTTTAAGAGCCCACATGGCAAGTGGCTTGCCATGTGGCCTTCACGGCAACACCAGTGCCACCACGACGCGAGTGCCAACCTCGTGTATCAATGGTCTACATGTCACTATAAATATCTTTCCCACTAGTTCCATATTATCGTTCCAAAGTGAAAATGCTCCTTGAAGTACTGGTACTACTTAAGCACTCCAGAGTAGTACTGGAGTGGGTGTATGCACTCGTCTTTCACTCGGCTCTTGAGCTACTCACGCAAAATTGCCTTTCAATTTGGGTCCTCTTTATTTACAACCCCTTAAAATTTGTTTTTAAGGGGTCGTGTTTTTGTGATCATTGTTGCATTATATATATATTATAATAAAATAATAAATACACACACATAGCTAATTGCAAACACACCAAACAATGTAACCAAACTTTTTGTTAATCTAATCCTCCACACACCCATATTTCGCAATATTAATTTTCAATGACTTTCTCCCATTGTGGTCAAGGTTATGCACTTCTTTATGGAGTGATTTCCTGTTTGTATTTCTTGCACTAATACTATTACTTCTGCCGATATTTAATATAAGAAGTCATTATTCTTGTCATAATAATGAAATAATTACATTTGATCATTTTAATAACCGACAGTAATTCGGTGAAATCCTGCAGACATTCTGCGGTGCAATGACAAGTTATCCCACGATAAGTTATCAAGAGACAAATAATTAGTTATTTCGTTTCCCCCACGTCCTGCAGATGACCTCTCTGAACTCAAGAGGAACGGCTGGTGGTCCGCTGTGATCACGACACTGAGCTTCTGCTTCGGCCAAATGACTCTGGCCAGACAGCTTCCCCCCGACCCACGACAAGACTCCTGGCTGGTGATGTACTCCCCTTACCCTCCTCTCCTCGTGTCTCTGGTGTACATCGCTGCGGTCACCTGGTGGGGGCCGGCCCTCATGAGGACCAGGAAGCCCGTCTCGGGACTGCGGAGCGTGATGATGGCCTACAATGCCTTCCAGGTCGTCTTCTCAGCCTGGCTCTTTTATGAGGCAAGTGCTATGTTACTGTGTCTCCACACATTGTCTGGGTGTCTTACTGGGGTTAAGATATGGGGTTTTATCTTTTAAGAGGTTCTCGGGGTATGTTGAGAGTTCGATTGTGTGTGTAGATTTGAGATTTTTAAGCAGTTTTATATGGGTAAAATACAAATGTATTTAAAAATTTCACTAAAGGCTGTATTAAATATAAAATGCATTTTTTAAATTTGACTTTACATTTTTAAATAATTAAAAAAATACAATTTTGTATAATTTGTTGTTAATTTTTGTTTTCCCATGAAGACATTTGTCACAATTACACGCAAGAAAAACTAACAATCTATTCTCAACGTATTCTCCGCACCCACTCCCACAGTACCAATATATCCAGCATAGATAATAGATAAGCCATCAATAAGGAGTGGGGGGAATATGGCTACCATTGGGCTCCTTTTTAGTTTCACAACTTGTGAATAATAAAAAAAATACCATTAATAAGTTTGTTAGTTTGTGTCGGTATATAAACTAAGCATTAGCTTCGTAGTTTGAGTATGGGTTCTAGGTGGAATTGTGGAGGGGGTTTGGGGATGGGGGGGGGGGGTTAGTTAATGACCCTTCCCGGAGGTCATTCCCGCCAAACACACACCGAAACTACGACATTGGTACAACGTTCGAACAAGTTTTAACACCTAACCAGTTATAACAACCAATATAGCAAGTTGTAACAACGTTCTATTACGTCATAAACACGTTAAGCCAAGATGTAACAACTTTATTACAAGTTGTAACAAGCGGAAAATAGAGACAGTTTCGGTTTGTGTTTCCAGGGAATTAACTTTACACACAGAAATCACACTAGCGTGATGCATCAAATGAACAAATCCACAAGGGCCATGACCCTCGTCACGGCCCTTGTGGATTTGTTCATTAACTTTTTCAACATTAACTTTGGCTTCACACGGTTGTTATTAAGAGTCCATCTTCACAGCCGCTCAATCTCTGCTTCACACGCCATAGCTGCACATTATTTTTGTCTCGCTTAAAAATGATTTAAGAACACAATTATATCTGCCAATATGGCCTCTGTGTATTCTCTGGCGACACTCCCGCGTCTGTGCGTGCAATGTCAAGAGTGGCGTTGGTTAGACGTTTAATTAACGTACATGACGTTGATTTGGCGTTGCTCTTGGATATTGTATCCACGGGGGATGTCGAGGACTCCTCGTTCAACCTTGACGCCGAGCGGACGTCTGGACGACACCTCCGCCTGGGGGCCGCCTGATCACGTTCTGTTTACGCGTTCTGGCTTTGCTACTGCCGTTTGGCATCCCTGTTCAACGGTCTGTTTGTACGACGCCTGACGCACATATCGCCTTGGGTCACGGAAGTGTTGACAGATTTTTTTGACGCTGGTTCTCCCGGCGGGGTGACGGTGTTCGGGGGCCGGCTTGGCCGAGAGGTGCCGGGGGTTGGCGGGTCTTGGTGGGCTCCTGGTGTGTGCCCTCAGCCGTGGTGGGTGGCTGGCTTCTGCTCTGCCGGAGGACACTGGATGACTTCTGCGTTTTAGTTGGGGGTCCAGTTTTTGGTTTTGCTACCCGGTGTTTCTGTGTGGGGCGGGGCCGGTGCTCGTCACCCTGGGGGACTCCAGGGGCTCCCCAATCATCTCCCTGTCTGCGTTTCTTTGCTGCATGGCATAGTTTCCAGTGATTGGCGTTGCTTGTTTCGCGATTAGGCTTGGCGTTTCACCTTTCCGGGCACGCCGGGGCGCATCAGATCCCACGATCGTCGTCGCCCTCTAAATCTAAATCAACAACACTACTGGGGTGTCACTTTTACTCTCCAGTGTATCAGTGGTGCCATGGCTCGGCGGGTTGTCGGCGTCCTGACACAGCTGTGCCTTAATGCATTTATCTCTCCTCCCGACTTGGTTATGCTCGCGCCATATTGGTTTTAGAATGGTAAATAGGGCTTAGTGTCCCCGCAAATAAGGTTTCGTGCAGCGTTTTTGTATCCCTTCCTCTCCAGGTTTTTCGTGTACCAGAGCTTTCATTGTGGCGCTCAGTTGCATGCACTGAATATGAGTCTCTGCTCTCACACTGCATGACTCTCTGCTCTCACACTGCATGACTCTGCTCTCACACTGCATGACTCTCTGCTCTCACACTGCATGACTCTCTGCTCTCACACTGCATGACTCTGCTCTCACACTGCATGACTCTCTGCTCTCACACTGCATGACTCTCTGCTCTCACTATTCCTTACCCCACACTTGACTTTTACCAGTCATGCATCCTTGGTATTTACGGTCGGCTAACTGTGTGAACATTCCTTAATTTATTTAGATTTCACAAAACAATTTCTTTCTTGTTCCAGCAGTCGCTTCTTTTGCCACAAATGCCAGTTTATCTTCGGTTCTCAAACGCCGCCCCAATAATGGCAAACTAATGTAGTGTATTTTATGTATTTCCTGCTAAAAGAACTACATCTGCTAAGTGGAAATCAAAAATGTGTAATTATGATAAAGGTCACAATAACGTGGTAGAACACTAGGAACCCAACCCATACATCTGATAAGGAAAAGTAGCAACAATACTCGACATATTTTTTTCTTCTACAACCCTTATGGATTCCTTGTATGGTACAATGAACAACCACGAAGACATTATTATAACCTTTGTGTACGTGGACATTTCTGTATCGAGTTTCTGCTCCCCCCCCCACCCCCCATGAAGAATATTTCACAGCCTTGAGGCTTCCTGGGCCCCGGAGCCCCTGGTCCTACTGTTTACGTGTACTCACTGTGAGTACACACTGTGGACTCACTGAGTCCACAGTGAGTCCACTGTGGACTCACTCACTGCGAACTACTTGGGTGCATTGGGTATATTTCCTCAAGACTGTATAAGTTGCATCTTTTATCATTCTGATATTATTCTGCCACAAACACTTTGTTCAATTACATGCGGTGAACTAGATCCCCAATTGTTCTTACGTTCATTGTGTTCACCTTAATATTGTATAACAGTCACAGCTTACCATTCATCTCTCGAGGTTCAACTCCACATAGACAAATCCTTACCACCTATTTCATGCATTTATCTTTAGTACATTTTTTTTCAGAATATGCAAGTCACTCGTTCAACTTCCCCCCCCCCTTCCCATTTCAGCCTTCATAGGAACAAGAAAAAATAGGCATTTGCAGAAGGCCTATTGTCCCATGTGAAGATGCTCTTATTTATTTCTCCCCAAACTCACTCGTATAAATGTGTAACCTACGCCTGAAACAATTCAGTGACTTCGTCTATTATGTTACCCCGTAACTTGTTCCCCCAATAAAAAACCCTATTTCCAAACTAATACATACCCTGCTCTTTCCTGAATCTGTAATCATCCAATTTGTATCTATATTTTCCTGATTTTTTGTTTAGATAATTGTAAAACTTGTGTATCCCTTTTCTTATCCTTATCTTGAGATGATTTCGGGGCTTTTTAGTGTCCCCGCGGCCCGGTCCTCGACCAGGCCTCCACCCCCAGGAAGCAGCCCGTGACAGCTGACTAACACCCAGGTACCTATTTACTGCTAGGTAACAGGGGCATAGGGTGAAAGAAACTCTGCCCATTGTTTCTCGCCGGCGCCTGGGATCGAACCCAGGACCACAGGATCACAAGGATCCTTGGAAGGATCAGGAACAGGATCCTTGTTCATATTTCAATACCCTCCCGTGTTATTACACCGGGGAAGACATCTCCCGTCACGCAGGGCGCAATCGCACCTCCACAGATCTCCCCAGTATCTCTTGATACTGGTAATGGCTCAAAAGGGCCACCACTTACGGGTTATTCATGCCCGTGCTACCTCTTGGGTGGCTTAAGATTGATTGATGATAGAGATTATTACACCGCACTCTTGTGCCCAGCAGCGTAACAAGTAGTCATACACTAATTACCTGAAGCTATCGTCTCGTATTAATAAATGTTCTATTTAGCTCGGAGCCTCTGTTTTAGATTTAGCTACTCAGAACGAAATGTCCATGTAGCACGGGCTATGGTGAACCCGTAATCGGAGCCTCTGCCTTGTGTTCAGCTTATAGTATGCTCCCCAACACCTGTCAGTGTCAGGTGTGTTCAGTTTGTCCAGGAACATTCTCAAGAACTGAAGTTCCTAACTTGTGTAAGGTGTTTTATCAAGTGTAAAGTATATAAATTTAACGTTCAAATACCCTCGGGTTAAGGTTGTTGACCCGCAAGATTTTTAACACCCGGTGGTTAATATAGCTCAGTGGCAAGCTTAAAGTAGGCTTAAAGTAATGTTCAGCTTTAATGCATATGAAAATTATTTCATTTTCGCAAATGCAACAAGGTTTAAGTTTATATAAGTACACTTAAGTACGAGGTACGTACCTACATAAGTACGAGGGGAGCCGGTCGGCCGAGCGGACAGCACGCTGGACTTGTGATCCTGTGGTCCTGGGTTCGATCCCAGGCGCCGGCGAGAAACAATGGGCAGAGTTTCTTTCACCCTATGCCCCTGTTACCTAGCAGTAAAATAGGTACCTGGGTGTTAGTCAGCTGTCACGGGCTGCTTCCTGGGGGTGGAGGCCTGGTCGAGGACCGGGCCGCGGGGACACTAAAAAGCCCCGAAATCATCTCAAGATAACTTCAGGTAGATCTTGGTGTAATTTCCAAGCCTCTTTATCAGTTCTACATATTTATATTTCGAGTCACTAGATTTATCAGCCAGCCATTTTTCCCCCCGGTCAGTTTCTCATCACGTTGAAAATTCTATGGAGTGAAATCTGGTATCCACTTGTTGGGTCTTGTATTGAAACTGGTTAGTCTTCCTGTATAATGCGGTTCTATCTCTACTCTCTCGTCTTCAAGCCGCGAGTTGTATCGGGACCTCATCATGAGAGGATTTTGATTGATTGGGACTAATATATTCAAAAAGCAGACTCTTGTGGGACTAGTTCATGTCGACAGTTCATTCCTCAAAGGGTATTCCACCCTCTCTCTATAATGGTCAGTGGCATGCTCATCCAGACGTCCAAACTGGTTATACTAGTTTTAAAATTGGTCTCCTGAGGGCGTCCGTGTCTGAGGCTTCGTGTTTTTGTGCGCGCGGTATGCTTATTTATTTTGTTTATGGAAATATTTAAGCGTTTCTCCTTCAGCGTGTGTCTTTTTGTGCGTTAGTTTGAAACTGCTGTCTGAAACCTGCTTCCACTTCAGACAATAGCAAAGGATTGGTTCAAATTCTGGCCGGGATTAGAAGTATACAAAATGATATTCCCCCAAAGAGCGCAAAAATATTATAACCCTTTAAATATAACTAATGTAAAGTTCGAGATTTAAAATAGCTCCATAGGCCTTGGTGCAACTTGAAATCGGAGTTCCGGGGGATATTTTTTTAAGGATTGAATTGTAGAATAAATTTGTGTAGACTGTTGGCACATGGCTAGGCTGAAAACAGCAGTAACACAATATTTACGAAACTGACGCTGGTAAATAGCTGGCATTTTCGGCCTGTTGCCTCCGTTCACTCGAAGCAAATAATTATCAAACAGAGGGAGGGAGTGAGGGACAATATTTTATTTATATACAAGAAGGTACATTGGAGGTTAAGAGAGAACATAGAAATGAAGTTTATTTTACATTCTTGTAAAGCCACTAGAACGCATATCCCACCAAACACACACCGAAACTACGACGTTGGTGCAACGTTCGAGCAAGTTTTAACACCTCCTAACCAGTTATAACAACCAATATAGCAAGTTGTAACAACGTTCTAATACGTCATAAACACGTTAAGCCAAGATGTAACAACTTTATTTCAAGTTGTAACAAGCGGAAAATAGAGACAGTTTCGGTTTGTGTTTCCCGGGTATAGCGTTTTCGGATATGACTTTATAAGAAACAAACAACCGCCAGCCATCCTGACACAATAAAGCTTGTAACTAGGGTTAACTGGGTAATGCAGCAGTGGTGTCTTGAATGCTGAAACACCCTGTTAGGCCTACCCCGGGGAATGTGGTAACGCGGATCTCTCATGTGGGGTGGGGGGGTGGAAGGGTTATCTTGAGGTTATCTTGAGATGATTTCGGGGCTTTAGTGTCCCCGCGGCCCGGTCCTCGACCAGGCCTCCACCCCCAGGAAGCAGCCCGTGACAGCTGACTAACACCCAGGTACCTATTTTACTGCTAGGTAACAGGGGCATAGGGTGAAAGAAACTCTGCCCATTGTTTCTCGCCGGCGCCTGGGATCGAACCCAGGACCACAGGATCACAAGTCCAGCGTGCTGTCCGCTCGGCCGACCGGCTCCCTCTCGATTAGTAGGGTAGATTAGTTTTTATGACAATCAGCAAGTTCGATAAAAACTGACCATGTGAGGCGGAATTAACACCCTTGGGATGGATGAAAACATGATCATTTTCCCGCCAAAAGCTTGATTTTCCTACTTTGAATGCCTCTTCTCAAGTGGATTTAATTTAATTTAAACGTTTAATATTATAATGCAAGGGGGGGGGGGAATTTATTTATAGCGACATTTTGCATATGAATAGAAATATATATTTGGTTGAAGCAGCATAGTAGTTCTGATAGGAAGACTATATATGTATATGGTGACAATGGGGGCACGTTATGGGATCTAACTTGCGTGCTAGGACTCTCCATGCTCACGCATTAGGTGATATAGGAGTCAGTTGACGACGGGGCCAGGAAGCCTATTGGTCTCTTCAGAGAGACTTCAGTAAGACTAACGTATGTTTAGACTAAGAGTACATCTATTTAATCCAGCCATTATAAAAGGGTAGTAATTTATATAAGCTGTTACGAACACTTTTATCTCCTAAATTACCATCTAACGAGTAGCCATCACAGGAACCATACCATCACATTACTGCCAAGTTAGTATTATTAATTTTTTTAATTTACGGTGTTATTAACTTTCCCTCTCCCCAGGCCGGAATGGGCGGGTGGTTCACTAATTACTCGTACGTGTGCCAGATGTGCGACTACTCCAACAACCCTCAAGCCATCAGGGTGAGTACCTCTTCTCACCGTCACATTTATTCAAAATAAATCTTTTTCACAGTCCTCGGTATCTATAAACACTTATCATAATTTATCGTCTGGACTCTCTCTAATATCTTGTTAATATTTGTTCCGTTTTGCAACTCATATAAAAAGATTGTTACAAATTTCGTTCATGATTTGCAATATGTATATAATTGGCTCTCAATCGGTATCATGGTAACTGTGCGGAACCTCCTTAGTATAACTTGTAATTAACTGATTCTCTCTCTCTCTCTCTCTCTCTCTTAGATGATGCACTGCGCATACTGGTATCACTTCTCTAAGTATGTGGACTTCATCGATACGGTGAGTGAAGTGGTCTCCTTGTGCCTCATCTTGGATGCTCACACATCCACTCCCCATCTTGGGGATGCTTAGGTTATCTGGGGATATCCCCTCTACATCGTATGGATACTTAGGAATTCTGAATGTTTCGGTTTTGTTTCTAAAAGGTTTATTAAAAAAATACTTTAATTTATCTTATTCTACTTTACAATTGTATAGGTGACTTTTTTTTATAGATTATTAGTTTGGTTTACAAAATTACATTTACAATTTTATATTTACAGTTCTCTCCATAAGCTGTCATTAATCTGATTTACATATGTATATTTACATTTACTTTTCATAAGCTTAGTCATTGATTTTGATTATAACTGTAAATCAATCAAGTTCTTTGTTAATCCAGTTACAAATTGTGGCTTTACACTCTTAACTCATTAATCGGGATACACTTAAATCCAATATTAAAGTAAAACTGAGGTAAAGTGTGAAGTTTAGAGCATTACAGCGCACCTCTGGGCCACCTAAGGCAACATTCCCGTGTAATGTACAACAGTATTCCCTTTATTTTCTTCAATAGTTCTTTTGTGTTTTTTATTCCGAGGGGAATGTATGCTCGGTGAATTGTTCCTGCATTTTGGTCTTTCAAATGCATATATTTAGTTTTGATAAATGGTGGTGGTAAATATATTGCAATCTTTTTTTGGGCTTTTTCGAAAACCCTTTATAATATGCAATTGAGTGAAGCTTAAAGCACTAGTTTAGCATTCAATATATTTTTCTCCAAAACATATTATGCTTTGTCTCTAGTTGTTCACTGAAAGTTTAGTTATTAGTTACATCGGTAGCCTGTTCAGCCAGGTTCCTTAATTTAATGTTTTAAAACGCCTAACGATTAAGGGAGATTCGAACACGGGCCTCGGACGTTTGAAACGTGTCCTGTTCATCAGGCTATGGGTGCTCATAATAATGAAGAATCTCCTGAAGTACCTATACAACTTGCTATACGTACAACTTGCTATATTGGTTATTATAACTGGTTAGGAGGTGTTAAAACTTGTTCGAACGTTGTAATGCCAGCGTCGTAGTTTCGCTGTGTTTGGCGGGATATAACCAGTACCCAAATTACTTTTCCCCCCTGATTCGAGTGAATTAAATGTTACTCTATTGTGGATTGTATCTCGATAGGATGGACATAGATCGCTTTCATCATTTTAGAGCATGTTTCTTGCCTTGCAGATTGTATGGATAAATTTAAGTATTATTAAGGTTTGCTCCAGGAAAACCACTCATTGGTCATTTCCTTTGCAGATCTTCTTCGTGTTGCACAAGAAATACGTACACATCTCCTTGTTGCACATGACACATCATGGACTCATGCCCATCAGCACTTGGTATGGCGTCCGCTATCACCCAGGTGGGTAGGCTGGCTAGGTTGGTAGGTGGGGAGGCAGAGGGGAACACCCCAGCAGACACTGATTCTGGGGGAGATGGGGAGGTGCACATCTCGAAGTCGGGACACGCCCCGATACGGCAGCGAGCGACGCGACGCTGTGGCGTCTAACCTCCCACACTGGGGGTTGGTAAGGTGATGTCCAGACGACATGGGGGCCCGTCGTTTGCACCTTGCTGGGGCCCTAATCGAGAGCATGTGGGTTGGGAGGGATATCCTGCATCCAACTGGTTTGACTGAAAGAATCCTTGTGATAATTTGACGAATGATAGGCTAATCTCTTTTTCTATGTGGCTCCTATGGATTATATGCATTCATTTACGACCATCTAATTTTGTTCAGATTCATTACAATGCTAGTTACTTATAAGCTGGTGATATTATTACTTAAGCTTTTCTTTGCCTCGGTACAAACTAATATGTTTGGCTCTAAGTGTGTGTAACGCTCTGCTGAACTGACCTAAAAATTCAACATAAGCAAATATTTATAAGACGTGTAATCTTTTTAGCGACTGCAGTGAGAATCTTGGGATTGAGAGTGCGATCCCACCGCATGACCTTATCACCCATTCATTCACCACGTATCGCAGTAGGCTTCTCAACGTGTTCACACTGTGTCATCTGTTGCAGGTGGCCACAACACCTTCTTCGGGTTCCTCAACTGCTTCGTTCACGTGGTGATGTACTCGTACTACCTGCTGGCGGCCATGGGGCCCCGAGTCCGTCCCTTCCTCTGGTGGAAGAAGTACCTTACCGCCCTTCAGATGGTCCAGTTTACAATCGTCTTCTTCCACTCCTTTCAAGTAGGCTCAGAAGGGTGCTGCTAATTTTGGGATATACGAATGAAATGAGTGTATGCTTGTTTATTTATAAAATTTAAACGTACAAAATAGGTGTACCGGAAGTGTATTCAGACGTAACCAAACAGTCAAATGTCTGACCTTCCCTCGAAACACTCCAGTGGTCTCAGTAATTCTATAAATCACCAACCCTGTTTCCTAACTAGAATTTACCCCAGATCATTTCTTAATCTAAACTTGTCCAATCTGGATTGTGTTTAGTGTTTGTGTCGATATGTTGAACGCCCTTACTAATATTCCCCCCCCCCCCCCCAAATCGACAAAAGTATACTGAACCAGGCGAGGCAGTTACCATCTATTCTCAACCTCTCCCATTCATACAATTTTCCAGCCTACACATTAAATGTTTCAGTGGGTGCTTCTGCAATGTTACTTGCCAATTTGTCCCATGGCTCTGCAACCCCTATTTCCGAACAAGGTTTACCTATTTTAGTTTATAATTGTAAACTCGTCCAATTAGCTTTAAAGGTTTTGTAAAAGTTTCGACCTCTCATGCGTGGAGTCCCCGGTTCGAGTCTCCTAAGAGCCCAGGGAAATGGAAGGTAAAAGGTCTTGTGTTATGACTTTGGTTAACATTCGTGGAAGCCTATTTATATTTCCTTTTCAAACCCCTTTTTATACATGGATAATTCGGTGGGACTGTTACACTCCCCCATTTGGCGCAGGGGAGGTGTAGAGGGTGTTGAAGGGTGACTCTTGGAGGGGGGGGGGGGAGGTCTTGCATGCACCCCCCAATCCCTATCTGCATCTCAGTTTTAAGTATTTGATGTTTATTTTTTCTGATCATCTTAATATAAATGTTTAATCTTCGTATTGTGGCATTTTTTTTTTAATTTGAGGTACCTACTTAACCTAGCAGTAAGTAGGTACCCAGGAGCTCAAGGGGGGGGGGGGGGGGGCAGGGTTCCTATCCCTCCAATAATGTATAGTCATAAGTATTGACTCGGCGCAATTCACTTGGTGGGATATCTATCCATATCCTCTTCCTAGTACTTTTGTTTTGCCATTTCTTGACCCTTTGATAATCTGCAAAAGTGTTATGTCTATTTTTATTGTATTTATTCTGTATATTTTTGTTATTCGGTTCTATTTGATCTATCTTCTCTCATCCTTCCTGTTACCCTTTCCTCTTCCTTTTTTAAATTTTTGTTGGTACATGTGCACATGTTGCACACGCAATGCCAATTCACAAATATTTAATATTAATACGATCATTTATATTGCAGTTGGCGTTCGTGGAGTGTGAGGTCCCGCCGATCCTTATGACCTGGGTTGGCTTCGTCTCCATCGTCTTCTTCGTTCTCTTCGCAGACTTCTACATCAAGGCCTACAGGAAGCGTGACAAGTGCAAGGTGAGCTGAGTGGCTATTGTCGTGGAGGTGCCGCGGAAGCCTACCACAGGTAGTGATTGTGTTTGCCTGAAGAGACACTACGATACATTAATGTCGGGTTCCTTAATGTGTTCTCACGTGGAAGGTGTTCTTGGCACATTCTAACGGGGCCCCTTAGGTGTACACACCAAACAGAATATAGTTAATAGAGAAGTTCATTTTTTTTAAATACTTAAATCAAATTTCAATAGTTATATATGCTTCAGAAGCCAAAAATATTTAATTCTTACAATTTGAAATTAAAAAAAAATATTACAAATTATGATTAAAACGGTGGGATTCTAATCCAAGACGTGTTTACAGAAGACAGAGTCAAACGGATCAGAGAGCAGCCCTGTTTACGTCCAGAGTTCTGACAACAGTGACTTGGCTACCAACGTCTCCAAGAGAACAGTGAAGGGAGTGTCCGGAGACAGTTTTATAAAGGGATATACTAATGGCGTTTCCAACGGCGTGTCAAATGGCAACCGTAGCTGCAGGTCAAATGGTATCCCAAGCACTTCAGCAGCTGGCCACGTCTCAAGCTCGATGCTCAAGGATTTGTCTTCTAGACTCGAGGGTGACATGGATCTCCGAAGTCGTGTGTAGGTCCGTGCGGCCACCGCATCGCGCGGCCTTTCTTTCACCTTTTTCTTCGTCTCTAGCTTACATCGAGCTTATCAGAATATGTAAAACTACCTCTATTTTAAATATAAATCACACTGTCACGTACTGATAATGTGTGTATTTATAGATATACTCAGGCCAGACATTAGTCTCCTTTCTAGCTCTGTCGACAGGTCTTTGGCTAGGCTGTGCTGCTAGTGTTGGGAATGGAGAATTAAAAGGTCAAGGTCCTTTAAAAAAATGGGGGGGGGGGTGGTGTTTAGCTATGCACTATCTGCTCTACATCACCATCTCACACAATCTTCACCATACGCAAACACATTCACTACCTAATGTTTTCACTGGCCATGCATTGATGGCTATCTTGATGCGATCTTCGCTCTCTGATCTGAGTCTGTGAGCCAACAGTATTAAGGCTCCTCACCCAGGTGATGTTTTGGAGAAGGTCCCACTCCATGTGATCTTGACTATTGCCGCTGACATTAATTTTGACTCTCTAAAACGTCAAGCTTCCGGGAGGTCGAATCTAGCCTCCGAGGTCTAGGTTTCGAGGACCTGGAGGCAACACCATTAATAATGTCCTTCAACCTCTTGAAACCTCACTATCATTATGGCAAGTTGTAGAGTGTGGTGGTGCACGGGGAACACTGTACACCTGGGCCAGGAGTCGACAACCATTGATGCTAGAACTTACGACCCTGTACATCTTTTCTCAATCTTTATGGCGCCTTCGTATGCCGCCATAAATAATAGTTTTCGAGCATGGAAACTTGCCAATCAAATGTTCTTATTGTTATAAGAACCCTCCAGGTGCTACGCAGCTCATAAACTGTTGAATAATTGTAAACAAAGCCGCCAGTGATTGAGAACGGATGTACAGGTTTCGTTAGCGATTGTGTATATACTTGATGACTCCGGCCCCGGGTCTCCTGAAGGGGTGGTTCGCTCTAGTGGATGATTACTGGAGAGTGGTGATGCCTCTTGGCGTGGACAGTGTCCTGAATGTACTAGTGATATTTTTTTAAATTGCTTTTTAATGAAAACCTACATTTCTCTTCTGTTACATTACACGGTTTTTATTCTCCGGGTAGACGATTCCACACCTTGTTAGTGGGGGTAACGAGGTTCTTGCCTGCATAGGTAGGGAGAGGGAAGGGTGTGTGTACTCGCCTATTTGTGCTTGCGGGGGTTGAGCTTTGGCTCTTTGGTCCCGCCTCTCAACTGTCAATGCGTGTGTGTGTATGTACGTACGTGTAGCCGAGTACTTGCATCCTTCAGATTCATGCTTTACAATGTTTTGCTACAATTTCCAAACTGTTACAAGAGGAGTTCACATATGCAAATGGTTTCATGTGTGCTTTTTAATTCAATATTTTCAAATATGCGGGTCTGTTTGAAACAAACTATAATTTTGTCTCACATTTGTATGTAAACTTTATTTTCTGGGGTGAAGCAATATACACCTGGAAGCGTCGTCCACATACAAAAGGACGTGTATTCTACATACAGTATATCGAATAATTTCCTTTTGTCATATAAAATTCATTCATAAATTAAAAGTATATATTTACTCGGTTCTCACCAGACTAAGGAAGTGTTCATTTGTATTCATATCTAGTGGTGGTGAGGTTCAGGTCATCTGAGATGAACTGAACCGAACCTTTGAGGTTTAGCCGAGGTTTTAATGGCTGAGATGCAACATAAAAACCTTTACCCATCCTCCAAAATTGATAATACTTGTAACAATTATGGCCAGAATGCTTTGCATCTTAGAACCTGTATTTACCATGCGACCTCTGTACCGTCAAATAAAATAAATTTTTAACTAGTCGAAAATGAACATTTACGCTTTTGGGGTAAAAATGTAATTTCATACCATTTTAGTACTCCAAATGTCTTGCGGAAAATTGGAAGTATACAATCTAATCTAACCTGTTTTAAGTAATCTTAGGCCTAATATGCCATCTTAGGCATTATTTAACGAACGTGCTGTAATAAGCCTAAGAAAGTTTGGTAGCTGCCTTTTCTCCCCCCCCCCCCTGTCCCCCCCCTGTCCAACCACTTGGGCTGGACGATAGAGCGACGGTCTCGCTTCATGCAGGTCGGCGTTCAATCCCCGACCGTCCAAGTGGTTGAACACCATTCCTGCCCCCCGTCCCATCCCAAATCCTTATCCTGACCCCTTTCAAGTGCTATATAGTCGTAATGGCTTGGCGCTTTCCCCCCTGATAGTTCCCTTCCCTTCCCTTCCCCCCCCCAATCTGCAAAATTATTTGTATAAGAAGTGCTTTTACTTGCAACAGCTCAGTTTTGCAAGTTTGTCCAATAGTTCAGAGAAGTATAATTTTTGGATAACATCTTGGGTTGTAATTTATATTACAATTAAGTATTTGTACTGTTTATGAAATTGTACCAAGGTTTGTGTTGTGGTCTAGTTCATTACGGATATTTTAGGGCAGGTTGTATTTTGAAGTATATTGTTGAAGAGGTTCCTCCCCCCCAAAAAAAAATATATCCGCAGCTTCATTTATGGATATGAAGTAGGACAAACAATATATATAATTATATGCTTAAGTATCCACTAGGAAAACAAAATCAAAATTTTCTGGGAATTTCCGTTTAATCTTCATAATGGATCAAGAAAATTTGAACTATATTAATATTTTAAATTTACGGTCCAGGTGAATAAAATTCGTAGTGCATAATTGCGAATAACTGAATCATATGTTTTTTTTGTGTGTGATTATTCTTGCATATTATTACATATTATGACTCGCATTACTGCGTTTTATAATAATTCATTCAACAGAACTAACGGAGCTACGGGCTCGCTGTCCTTAGAGGCGTAGAAGGGTCTGGTACATGAAATGCATAATTTGAAAATGCCGTGTAAATAACCATACATCACCAAATGACAACTTTTCCATATCTGTAGGCTGGTTGGATAGCCTCAAATCTTTGTAAAAAAAAGTGCTTAATTAAAAAAAAAAGATGAGCCAATATTGTTAATTTTACGTTCATTTGATGTTTAGTTAATATTGATCTGTGAATTTTTTTAATGTGGAAAAATGGCTTGATAGTTTATGGAATAAAATAAACATAGTTTATTTATTCCCCCCCAAAAAATTAGCGAGTGCATTTCAATTTCTAATAAATTTTTACAATTATATTTTTCTAATTTCTGATTTTTTATTAGTTTGTGTACTTTTAAGCAAGTACCCTCTCGCTAATGTATCAAGATGCCTGTTAGTGTGAAATTTCTAAGTAAAATGTACAATATACTTTATTTTATTTTATGGTCCTTCGTGGTAACAGCATTTGTGGCGTGGTTGGAACAATTTGTGGCGTGGTTGGAACAATTTGTGGCGTGGTTGGAACAAGGTCACAGTTGTGGCCTAGGCAAAATGAATCTTCCTAAAAACAAAAAGATGTACTTTTAGTGATTGAATTTTAGAGCTATATATAGCACTGAAGTAATGGAAACTCGATCACTGCTATTTAGTACAAATGGTAGGTGGGAGCGGCTTTAACTAACCTAGTATGACCATTTGTCTAGGCTGGCTTCTTGGAGTGACTAGTGCAGTACATAACAACGCTGTTCCTCCAGGCTCCTAATCATTTCCGGTTTTGGCCATTATTTGTTTTTGTGATATGCTTTAGAGATTAATTAGGCTGTTTATCATGCATTTTGACGTGCAAAATTCAAATACAATAATTAAAATTGTAGATTATTATTTTAAGTGTCGGGTAACTATCAGGAGAAAGTGCGAAGCCATTACGACTATATAACATTTGGAAGGGGTCTGGACAAGGATTTGGGATGGGACGGGGGGAAAGGAATGTTGCCCAACCACTTGGACGGAAGCGATGAAGCGAGACCGTCCAGACCAAGTGGTTGGGCATTTGTTTGTCAGGGTTGTAACAAAACCTGGCTTAATTAAGTAAATAGAGGATGGTGAACGTTTTTTAACCCGAGTTCTAATGGCGTGAGTGGCCAGTCTTTGACATAGTGGGAAGCTCTCGCACGACCATCCCACTCACTAAGACAACAACAGGGGTCTGGTTTACTAGTCTCCGTGGTGTAGTGGTAAGACACTCGCCTGGCGTTCCGCGAGCGCTATGTCATGGGTTTGTATCCTGGCCGGAGAGGATTTAATGGGCGCAAATCCTTAACTGTAGCCTCTGTTTAACACAACAGTAAAATATGTACTTGGTTGTAACAACGATTCTTCGCGGCGGGGATCGTGTTCCAGGGACCTGCCCGAAACGCTACGCGTACTAGTGGCTGTACAAGAATGTAACAACTCTTGTATATATCTCAAAAAACAGTACTGTGTGCCCTCCACACCCACACCGACCACCTTCAAGTCGCCACAAAGCTGCCACTGATGTTGGCCAACCTTTATACAAATCAAAAACGGCTTCATGTAGGGAAGGCAGGTGCCCGATATGCAGGCGATGAGCCACAATAACATGGTTGAAGTATGTTGACCAATCCACACACTAGAAAATGAAGGGACGACGACACCGTTTCGGTCCGTCCTAGACCATTCACAATAGACTTGAGAATAGTCTAGGTTCCCCGGTAGTACAGTCGGGTTCGTTCTCGACTCGTAGATAATTCCGGGTTCGAATCCCAGGCGGGACGAAAGTGGTTGGGCGCATTTTCTATCGCCTAATACGGCTGTTCACATGGCAATAAGTAGGTACTCGGGAGTTAGTCAGCTTGTGTGGTTGCATTCTGGGCGGGTTCAGTAATTCAACCATGTGGGGTGACTTCGATATAAGTACGGGGTATGAATACTCTGGCTGCCTGTACCCCGACACAATCAATTATATGTTGTCATAAGTTTTCTTCATATGGACCGCATAATCAAATGAAAAGCAGCTATACACTCGCATTATACAGCAAAACAGCTTGAAGACTCGTCTTGGATGAAAACTAGAGCAAATCGACTATTTTTAAACATTTCCGTTTTCATTGACCCAGAATTAGTCAAGATTAAACTCATGCTCAGGGGACGCAGTGTTTGTAAACAGTGATGTAATTAGTATTGGAGGCCTAATCCATATAATCTATATACTTGTCAAGCTCAACAAGCCACAATGTTGGACTGAAAACAAGAAGCTTTTTCACCCCACAGGGTTATAAACGCATGGAACCGTCTACCCGCCGAAGCTGTAAAAGCCAAAATTCTGCTGAACCAGCTAGAAGAAAACGTCAGGACAAATGGGAGGGGGGGGGGGGGAAGATATCTGACAAGCCGCCGGTTTCCTGTCCTCATCGAGGTCACTAGAGTGTTAGAGGCCCCTCAGGTAAAGTAAGATTAATATTGATAATTCGTCAAGTTCAGGAAAACTTTTTTTTTTCATTCACTGTGAATAGCATCACTTCAAAGTGACTTTTAGAAGGGAAAAGTTGCCCGTGAAGCAAATTTGACGGAGTTTGGTGCCCGGAGGTGCAGACATTGCCTGGGCAGGAAGGCGAGAGGCACTGCTCTTGTTCAGTGCGCAACACTCGGAAATACAAATAAAAATAAATAATCTGGTGAGATCAGAAATAGCGCAGGCTTCTTCTTCCCGATAGAAAACGGGATCTTATATCGTCATATTGCCATCACTGCCGCTAAGTCTACCCTTCAAGACAGTTTTCTTTGATACCAACGGCGACTCATCGCAAAAGACGTGGAAAAAGGCATTTAACATTTTTATTTATTTATTTATTTATATACAAGAAGGTACATTGGGTTTATGAGAGTTCTCTTGATTTGCCTCTTTGTAAAAAACAAAATCCAAACTTTTAACCCAAATAGAAACGAACGAATACAAGCAATTATCCACCTAACCTATCGATTCCGTTACATAGAAAACGTGAATATTTGTTAGCGTCAAGCAACTAACAAATATGAGGAGGATTTAGAAGGATATGAGGTGGGTTTAGAAAGATATGAGGTGGGTTTAGAAGGATATGAGGTGGGTTTAGAAGGATATGAGGTAGATTTAAAAGGATATGAGGTGGGTTTAGAAGGATATGAGGTGGGTTTAGAAGGATATGAGGTGGGTTTAGAAGGATATAAGGAGGATTTAGAAGGATATGAGGTGGGTTTAGAAGGATATGAGGAGGGTTTAGAAGGATATGAGGTGGGTTTAGAAGGATATGAGGTGGATTTACATGTTTTATGACTGGCTGATTAAAAGTAAGAGGGTCACGATCACAAATATGGATCACTGTGACCAGAGTGGGGAAATATTTATGGGTATATTTGCATGAGTGAATGATTGATCAACATTGAACTTCATAAACTAAACGGGGCCATACTAGGGCAAGATAAGGCTGAACATGCTCCGAGGCAACATATGCTCCTGTTCAGTGTGCTCGGAGGCCACATGCTCCTGTTCAACATAATCCGAAGAAATTAGAAACTCTTCTAATCCTGTAGCACAGTGGTCTACGTCCTTGGCTCACATCGAGGGAATCGAGTTAAGTTCCCAGTCAGCATGGAAACAGTTGGCCATGTTTCCTGTCACCTGATGCTTCTATTCACCTAGCAATAAATGGTACACAGTATGTGGGGCAACTGCTTCTGGTTCTATTAATGGTTAGCAGTCCCCGTGGAGTGGTAAAACATTCGCCCCGTGTTTTGCGAGCTATTTGACCAGGGTTCGTATCCTGGCCAGAGAAGATTGACCGGGTGCCAATTCTTAACTGTAGCCTCTATTCACTCAGCAGTGAATGGGTACCTGGTTGTTAAACGATTTGGTGGGGTCGTATTCCGGGGAAAATTAGGATTAAGGACCTTCCCGTACCAGTGGCTGTATAAGAATGACTTATACATAATAATAATAATAATAATAATAATAATAATAATAATAATCTTTATTTAGGTAAGGTACATACATAAAGAGATTTACAAAGTTTGTTGGCTTTATAGATAGAGCTAGTACATGCAATGCCTAAAGCCACTATTACGCAAAGCGTTTCGGGCAGCTATATAACTATAACAGAGTTATATAACTCTGATAATATATATTAATAAATAAATAAAAGTAAAAGTAAATAATCTGGTGAAGTTC